GCACTCTGTTCTAGCCGAGGGAAACCGTTGCAACGACCTCAACCTGCAAACACCTTACTTACATCCTTGATCGCTATTCACAGGTTTTTGCGTTCAGTCATCCTCCTTGTGGGGCAAGTGGCAAGTGACAAGCATTTGTCCAAATGTTTCTTCAAACTTCTCTACACTGAACATCTGTTGTACACTGGCCAAGACTGGCCAAGTCAACTATTATTCCACATATTCGCAGCTTGCCAAAGATCAGTTCTTTCCTCCCGCCTTTGTGCAAGTACATCGCAAGACAACAATGTAAAGTACACTGTTTAGAAGCGACAAGACGTGACACATGGATGGTCTGCTGACAAAGGACATGGATGCGCAAGATAACACATCTAGAAAACGGTTGCACCTTGACAGGGAGTCCCTTCCAGAACCAATTCGCAGGTTCACTGGTAGATTTTACTTGATTCATTTTTTGCTTTTGCTGATGTGAACATGTTGAGGTGAAAGAACTGTCCAAAGCACTGCTCTAACAGGGACCTTTTTGGTGGCACCCGAGGTTGGTGGCCGAGGTGGTCAGTGAGGTGGTACCTTGGAAGCGGCGCTGGGAGCACCATGCCGGGCGGCCCGTGTGTGGGAGGTGCCCGTTCTTGCTTTTTGTGGTACTGGGCGATTTGGATCGCTTCATCAGACATCCTTTCTGAACAGCAAACGAAGATCCACGATTGTCGAGGCGGCGGGTGTGTGTTGAAGGTCCAGGGGAAGGGAGTATTCTTGAGGCCAAACCCTGCAAACACGATGAATCTTGGAGACTTTTAATCCAGAAGCTGACAACTGATCAAAAGCTTTTGCAAGTCTTGAAGCAAACTCAGAACTTATTATGTATATATATATATACATGTCCATATAGGTAGACACTTAAGGAGGTTCATTTCACTCCTTGCCCGTTTAAAGGGTCTCCACCAGTCACTTTGTGGGTCCTGGTACGGATTGGCAGCATCTTTCCTTTTTGCGTGTGTTCTGGATCCACTCAGGCATGGCTCCACCGGCTTTGCGCTCATGTGCGCGTGGAGACCCGGAGTCAAAGGTGGCCCTCCTAAACAGAGAGTGAAATGATTTCCAAGAGCTTCTTTCTCCAAAAGGGTGGATTCACTTTCGATCTCTTTTGCAGAAAACGGGCCTTTGATTCTGAAGGGTTTATAGAAGAGGGTTGCTGAATGTCTGAGCGTAAACAAATCTAGCTGCTTCTTCATGAATGTCCAATTAATGAATGTCTGAATGTCTGAATGTCGCAACCTTGAGCCTTGAGCTGACATTGTTCAATCTAGCTGATCTAGCTGCTTCGACATCTAGCTGCTTCGACATCGAGCTGCTTGGATATCAGGCTGCGGTTTCTTCATAATCAGATTCTTGAAGGTGGAAGTTCTTGGGGTGCTTGATGAAAGATGCTGCTTTAGTGCTGGAAGACCATGATCCACAGCATTCTTGGCCTAGTTGAGCCTGGAGGGATTGCAAGCTCGAATTGTTGGCAAGAACCTCAGGACAGCTGCTCCCTGAAATGGAGCCACAAGATGTCATGCGGATCATTCTGGTATGGGCACCCGGAGAAGACTGTCAGACACGTGTGGAAGACGACAAACACGAACAAGAAGCCCGCCAAAGTGGCACTGCCACACTTGTCGTCCGGATGCCGTGACAAGTGGTTGACAATAAAGGAGGCCTTATTTAGTTTGGATGGGCTCTTGCCTTCCTTGCTGTGCTCTCTTTTGTTTTTATCAAAGCACATTTAGTTGTATACATGTATAATATTCAAATTAATCGTGGCTTCTCAGTTAGCTTTGAAGAATACTGGACACCTGTGCAGTGGGTAGATGGGCAGGTTAAAGGATTCTTTTTCCGATCAATTTCTTTCCATGCAAACACTGCCAGAACGATGGGCCAACTCCAGTCGTCGCAAACTTTGACCTCATGGCTACCTTCCAAACCAAACAAAGTCAGAAATCTTGCTTAGTGCTTGAAGTTCTTGTCTCCTTGGGAAAGCCCATCATCTGGCTCCGAATCGTAAAGCTAGGCCTTTGGAGAGCTCTACACGAAGCGGAAGCGTCACACGCTGCTCTTTCACGACTTTGAGACCTACACAGAGCTGTTTCAGGCCATCGAGACCCACGTGTTGCTTGCTCCTTTTAGGGGCAAACTTTCTAGATTCTAGGCTTTGGGTCAACTTAAGATGAACATGGCGCAGAAATAGCGAGAAGTCACATCACAGAAGTATGTAACTTGTTAGATGGGTAGTAGTTGTCACCTTTGATCATACAGCACATGTTGAATGCCCACCAATGTCATCCATGGTATAGCATCGCTGTAATCAGGCCTTGCCAGTGGATGTGGCCACAGAAAAAAGCTTGCTGCCCTTGATGAGGTGCTGACATCTGAAAATTGTGAAGGGTATGTGCTGATCCACAAAAAGAAACCTTTTCTTGCCCTTGTCTCTGGTGTGGGTTTTGGGTTTTGGCCAAACTATATATATATATATAGATGCCTTCAACTATGGGATGGGTGAACATCCAGCAATGACACTATTCTGTTCAGTTGATGGCATTCACCACGGATTCATCAGCCGCAGTAGTGGCTTCGCCGAAACGTAAATGTTCAAAGAAAAATACAATTTTGCGACAAGTCATTCTTGACACGTAAGTGATATATTTGTCAGGATGCTTGTCTCCTTTGTGAGAGCCAATAACTTGGCTGTGACTCCAAGTTAAAGAGTACTTTGTTATATACATTGTAGATCCAGAGCATTTTGTCCAGTCTTTCTCTTCAATACAGCAAGATCACAGGCCATGGTAGGTTTGTCTTTGAAGCTGTTGGCAACTCTTGTCTTGGACACTTCGGTTGACACACAAAGCCCTACTTCACGTGTAAGTAAACCGAGTAAACTCCTCCCAGCAGCGTTGGTGAGGTGCTACCGCCGAATGGGTGTCACCCACGAGCCTTTTGTACGTGCGGGTCATCCAGCAGAGGAATCAAAGCAATTGCCCCCAAGCCACCAGACAACCAGAAGCACACGTGAAAAGGACCCAAAGGCGTCTAAAGAGTAGGGACCTGCCGTACTACCCTAGATGGGGAAAGGGGTTTTGACTAGGTTATTGACAAATCTCACACGGGTTGCAAGGTTTATATAAGCCATGTCTTTTGGTTCTGCCCCAAGCATGGCATTACTGCATGCACGGTTCTTGCCAGATGTCAGTTTCATGAATGTCCTCTTGTCAACTTACATGTTCACTTTCATTAGTGCAATCAAGAACAGATGGTTGACTTTCATGATGCCGCTTGTTGGACCTCCTCACAATGATCTTCATGTTTGCTTTGTCTAAACCACGTGGGGGTTGACCTTCAAGCGACACAAACTCCACCTGCCTAGGGGCCATCTGCGATCGAGTCGTGGAGGGTGAGGTTGGATGGGATATTATGGTGGACGAGACCTTTCACAAGCTCAGGACACTTGGGATCTAGCTTACATACTGCATAGTTTACGTGTATACATATATATATATATACACCACCGTAAAAGTTGTTGGCGCAACTCAGGGGGTAGCCGGCATAGCCATAGATGGCTCAACACCACATGTCAATTGAATCATCTTTGAATATCTTGGAGCTGGAAAGCACAAAAAGATGACAAAATTGCAGAGTTGAAGCCTACTGTATGCATTGATTGGCATTGCGCCATCTGTGGTTCTGACATAAAGCCCCACGCGCAAACAAAAGATGACAAAAGGGCGAGATTTTGAACCAAAAATGCAGTAGTTTTCCAGGGTTTTTGGACTTGACAACAGTGTGTTGCCCCCTGGAGTTCGAAGATGAAGCAACAAAAAAAGACAAGCCATCAATTTTCACAACGGAGTATATAAACATACAAAAATATAATTTTCTTTTGCAAGACAATCTCCAGGATAAGGTTACTTTCTGATTTCCCACCCCTCGGAAGAGTCTCCTGTATTGCGGCTCATAAAGCCAAATCGATCATATAAGTAGATGACTACCCAAAGGAAATGGAGTTGGTCGTTTCTAAGCCGGTTCGCGCACGTTGTTTTGCTAAGAGGTACCTGCTCGCACCCCCCAACTGAGAATGTTTTCAATTATATATTTATACCGTTATACCGCACCTTTCGGCAAGATTCACACCTGGAGGACTCCGACAAGGTGGTAGAACAAAAATAGTAACAAGAACGCTACTAGGAGCAAGGGGCATCGCTACTAGGAGCTAGGGGCTCCTGGCCTTACTACTAGGAGCAAGAAGCTACTACTGTAGGTCTTTACCGTGCCTTTTGGTAGAATCCATAGCTGAGGGACTCGGACTCGGGCAATGCGGCAAAAGTCGGACGGAAAGAGGTGACTTGAAAGAAACAGATAGACAGCAGGACTTGAAATGAAAGGATAGGTTCAAAGCAAAAAGACGCCCCTAAGCAAAGGGTCAGTTACTTGAAACGAAGAGGAGTAAGTTGAAACGAACGGATAAACTTGAAACCCACGGAAGGACTTGGACCGACAGGAATGTAGTGAAACGAACTTCGTCCAGTGAAACGATTCTTTACCGATTTCATCGCAGCTTTCAGTCAAAAGGGTTTTCAAGGTCTACATACTTCTTTTGTTTGTGCCTTTGGTAAACACACATTGGCAGACAGATCCGAGCAAGACGGTAATTTTTTTCAATCTTTACCGCTTTTACTGCGCCTTTTGTAAAAGAATTAGCGGAGCCGGGCTGTTATTTAACCGTCTTTACCGTGGAAGTTTTTGAGGGGAACCCCGTCATCCCAACAACAGCGCTAAAGCAGCACAGTATCCTTTAATATCCTTCTTTTGATCGATCAAGTGCACTGTGCCAACTTGGAGTCCGAGTTCACTTGGGCTGCGCCGCACAAAGATCCCAAGCATGCTGGACCTTTCATTTTCAGTCATTTTACTTTGTATCAGCTTGCTGATTCATCTCAATTTGCTGTTTCAAGTCTTTCATCTTGTTCATGAGTAACACTAGGTGGATGGTCAGCACTCCGTTGCCCGTCCAGGTGGAGCTGGCGCCGGGACCCTTGTCGGAGCTGGTGCAACTCCATGGAGCGGAGGGGTCGAACGGACGGTGGCGACAGACACAGTCCCAAAACAACTGGTAGTGTCATGGCGAGAAATGACTAGCTCTCCAAAAGGTGAATCATTCTGGACTGTCAAGGACGCCCTCTCAGCTCTTGCAGGATGTTTCTGGGTCTGAAAGTTTGCTTTCATATTGTTTCCAAAGCCCCAAACATTGGGTCCCTTGCCCGGTCCATTTTACCCGTTGTTCAGGGGGTCGGGTGGGGGAGGTGGTGAGCCGGGCAATGACGTGATATTTTTGGTCATGACGGCTCGCAGGTTTTGTTTTTCGTTGGTGTTGTTGCTCCCGCTTTGGCGTTCTTGTCCATCGAACTGTGGCGTGACAAAATTAGTACAGTATGTTGCCACAAAAAGCACATGTGGACTCGTTGGCGGTAGAAAGACTTGACTAGAGCAGCCCGGAATGAAAGTTGTGTTAAATCCATGGTCAATACGGGCTTGCCCGTACAGATCAGTTGGGCTCTACTCCGGAAACGTTTGGATTGCACAAAGATAACTCGTGGCTGATGCACTCTGAGTGAAAAAGAAAACCACGAAATGCCGATGGCTGGGAGTGAGATTGGCTTCCCATTGAGATTGGCTTCCCATGTTTCGCGCGCAGGCAAGGGACCAGAACATTGTTTCTTGGCAGTGTCGAAACCATTTCCTAAACCCCTGTATAAACCTGTTTGATGAGATCTCCAGGATCAAAAATTTCTCAAGTTAGCAAGCAGAGGAGTCTTGCACCCTCATACATGCAGAGGTTTCTTGGATCCAGCTACTCTCCCAGAACAACATTTTCGTGTGGAGAAAAGACCGCCAACCCACCCGATTCTGAGACACACCCAAGGGGTGACACGGGGAAGAGGCGGCCTCCCAATGGCTGCTAGTAAGTAGAAGCTTTCTTGGGAATCGTTTCAATGGGAATCGTTTCACCTGTAGTAACAAGAAGCTTTTTAGTATATCTTTGAAACTTCTTAGTAACAAGAAGCTACTAGGTTAGAGGCCCTCGCTACTAGTAACAAGAAGCTGTTAACACTTTTAAATATGTCTTTGAAGCTTCTCCCAGTTCCTCTTGCTCCGTCAGGAGACTTGAAACTCCGCTCTCCAAGGCAGGCAGAGGGGCGCAGGGGGCAGGATCTGCCTGAGCCGAGAAGATCAGCTTTGACCAGTCTGAGCTTCCAAACTTGAGGACTAGAGATCACTCTTGTCCGATCAGCGCAAGCTTTTGGCATGATATTCTGACCGACTTTTCGCAGCTTCCATTTTTTCATTCAAGATGTCTCATATAATGCAGACCACATGTCGAATCTCTATCCAAATACAGCTGGAACTAAAACCCACTGGAATATATGATCGATGCTTGCAGAGAAGAGGCACCCAGACTTCTGACCTTTGAGCCAACTCAGCAGCGAGAAAGAGGAACATTTGGGAGGCAAGAATTAGGAGTACTGCAGCCTGCACTCGCCAAACAGCTATGGTTCAGGTTACTGTGCAGGTTCGGGGGTTTGTGCCAAGCTTGTTGTTGTGTGTTAGGTCGAGGCATGGTTATTTGCACCAGGCTTCTTCAGTCGCACATGCAAACCTGTCAATTAGGTGACTACTTTTCGGTTGAGCTTCACTTGTTAGTCACTTGGGTTGTGCAAGAGCTGCTGGCAGACCAAGAATGAGAAAGAGCTGAACAACCACCTCCTGAGGGTGGAATTGGATGGTCGACAGTTGCTCGTGCTGGAAGGGCCCCCCATGACTTCACCAACAAGTAAAGGGCGTCCGATCGCTCCGTTCGTGTCGTAGCGATGCTCTTTGTTACTAGTAGAGTCCTTGTTCCTAGTAGAAAGGCCAGGAGCTACTAGTACTAGTTACCAGTAGCGTCCTTGCTCCTAGTCCCAGAGTCACAATATTGTGTGTTTTTGGGAGTTGGAGGTTGTTGTTTTGGTCATTCTTGAGAATCATATCTTGGGGGTGACTGGATGGCAACCACTCCAGAGTTGAGATTTATGCTTGTGCTGGATGGTTCCCAGAGGTGCCAGGCACCCTGTAACACATCAAAATGTCAGTCAACACTATGCTGTTTGTATTTTTCTGCTGCTTCCTTGGAAAGGGTCCATGTCTTTGATAGACGTACCAGGACCACGAAAGGAAGTAAGGCCCGTGTGAAGCATGATCATTTGGTGGAAGGGATTCCTACTAGAAAGAGATACATGGATGCAACTCCAAAACATGCGGATACCGATCTGAAAAAATGCAGACATATCACACGATATATATATATATATATACACACACATGGCTCACATCATAACATTTTGAAAGCACATGCATAGTAGCTCCGAACGGGGAGGATCCCCCACTCACTCACAAGGCTTTTCCACTTTTGGGCTGCTAAGGAAGTTCATGGAGCTTCAGCCGAAGTGTCAGATCGATTTCCCGGACACCCCAGCGGGCGAACGTACAGCCACGGTAGACATCTACCAAAAAGTTGGTAGCTGCTACTTGGAAGATCGCTATATTTTTCATCTCCCTATTTGGGGGCTTTGGGATATTTGCCAATTCGTTTTCTTTTTGAGTGCAAGTTTTGTGAGGGTTTTGAGAACAGGGTCCAAACAAAGGCCCTGCAAAAGTGTCCGAAGTCATTCCTTTGAAAATATCATTTGAACAATCACCAAATGTCTTGAAAGGGTCAGATGCAATGGACAACGCCCAAATGCCCTTGCAGAGAACACCTACAGGCATTTATGCTTCGGGGGGGTGTTGGCGTCAAGAAGCTCTGAGGCACGTTAAAGTTGGATTCTTCCAGCAGCAGTCTGCAGCAATGCAGGATGCCCGGGTGGGACATGACGGTGCAAGCCAGTGACGTGGCCGCAAAACAGTGCTATGAAAATAACAGTATCAGTTGGTATCACAAAACATGTTCCCCCCTACTCCTTTGGTCCTGGTCTGCTGGTTCCCTGGTCGCTTGGTCCTCTGGTCCCTTTGTCCTGGTCCCCTGATCCCTTGTCTGGTCCTAGTCTTCGGTCTTGGCTCTTTGTGAATGGATGTTTTGATATATATATATATATAGATTAGTTTTCGTTTTGATGGGATGGTCATATTTTCTTTTTGATATAAATGTATTCTTTTTGATAGTCTGGCCCCAGGAGGGCACAAGGGGTGTTGAACCACCATGCTAGGGTGCCCGCTATACAAGGTTCTGATGTGAGGAGGATTTGTCACCTCATCTCGCTTTCCTAGCCCATGATCCTCTCGCACTCGGGATGCCAATCCCTGTTGAAAGGCACCCATGAAAAACACATCTCCAGCATGCCAATACAAAGTGACATTTGGCGTGCAGTCAGTGCAGTCTATCTGACAGCTTTTGTGGTTTGTGCCACATCCTCGGGTACATGTCAGTGCATCTGCATCTCTTTTTCAGGCAGTAGAAGTTCCTCTGCGTGGAACAGCCTATTTGGATGGTGTAATACGTCGGAGGACGGGTGATGTTCGGCTCAACCGGTAGCTCGGTAGCTCCCACACCTGCGAAGAAAAGGCAGACTTCTGAACTCAGCGAAGCACTTTGTTCAGTCAGCAAAGCGGACCACTTGGTTCAGTCAGCGTTTTCAAGTTGATAGTTGCTTCAGGAGGCGACTACACTCTGCCGAACACATCAACATATGACATAGGAGTCCACACCGTTTTGGGAAACTATACCAAGCCATGTACTATATTATATGCGTTTGTCGGAATGTACTGTATCTATCAAGGGCACCGCTTTTCAGGGTCCGACCACCGGTTCTGTGCAGGAGGTGGATTTGAGTTCGGTGAGTGCTGCATCTTGGCAATGTTTGGTGAGCCAAAACGGACATCCACTGGACAAGTTTGAGTCTCAAGATCAGAATGACGATGCCCCCATCTTGACAAAAGACGTGAACCATGCTTGACGTCTACCCGATTCACAAACTGTTCAAGAAGAAAGGGGGTCTTTGCTGCGAATCAAATCATGACCATTACTATTTCTTCCTGGAATCCTGGGAATCAGTCTGAAGGACTCTACTCGATGGCAAAAGCAAAAACGCGTGGAGCTGAAACGAACGACATGGCCAGGTCCTGTCACGCGTTGTGACGCCGTGTGACGCGGCCGGTGATGTGTTCGCCTCCGAGGTCCCAGTGCAGGAGGGCGCCGTGGTGCCAGATGAGGCCTCGGGGCCGCGATTGCTGGTGCTCACAGACGTTGGTGAGGCAGGGCTTTTTGGGTCCGAGTGATGGAGAAGTTCGGCAGGGATGGAAGTTGGATCGAAGGGATCAAAGCGGGATCGAAAGCACTTTAACGATTGGAGCATTGTTTTTCGGGTTGTTAGGTGTTTATGTTTTGGGGAGTCTTGGGGTACTGATGATGATACTGTTTCTTTCCGCGCTACTACTCTGTACTCTGAAGCTTTTGGAAAAGGTTGGAAGGTTCAAATTTTGCATGGCTTCATATAAAAGAGTACTGGACTCGACAGGGGCCCCACGTGACTTGGTGGAGTTGGTCCATGGCTCTTTTGTGGCTTTCAGGAGATCGATGATGAAGCTTCTCTTTGGTTGCTTCACCAGCATCTCAACGCGTTTCCAACGGCTGAAGCAGCTTGGCAGGGAACCTGCGGTGGCAGGGTGAGGCTGGTATGTGAGGGGTCGATCAACATTTGGCTTTTTGGAAGTGGAGGGCTCAGATCTAGCCATCTTCAAGTCCAAGATATGTCGATGCTATGAAGACCATTGAAAGGAGCCGCGCGTGAATTGCTCAAAGACCCTGAGCGCCCTGCGGCTTTGTGAGAATCTTTGTTTTTGGATGTTTTTCTTTTTGCACTTCGACAGCCTCTCCGCTCCTCCCTGACAGCCTCGTCTGCTTGAGCCGCAACTCGGTGACTCTAGGCTGACATTGTTTTCGTCACGGGCTCGCCATTGGAGCGTGCCACGCGATGGGCCGGGAGCTCAGACGTGCGGTGGGCGATGTTAGTTTTTGAGTCTCCTGGTGTCCAAAGATGAAAAGGACATGGAGAGAGAATGATAGAAAAGGCCTTTTTCTTGGAGGATAGGGACCTTCGTAGATCAGCAGTCGTGTATTTGGAGATTTGCCATCTAATTTCGAGTGACCACCCGGAGCATGTTGCCCCATTGCCCCACTTTCTCTCTCCTTTCTGGTGGGCGGCCACATTATCGCTACCTTGTCTCCCATCGTGTGTCAGTGTATGGGTTTCAGAGACCGGGTGTTTGTAACTCTTAACGGATTGCTCCATCTGGGTCTACGCCGGTGTGATTTGTCAACCAGAGACACTCTTGGCACTACAATCTACAGAATCTACCCGTAGCTCAACCGCATGGTGGACCGGTCTTTTCCTTCGGTCTCAGGCACAAGTCTTGAACTCCTTGCCCGCGCACCACAAGCTCACGGACCGGATCCAGTACTACGTAGGTCCCACCACCAGCAGGCCGATCCGAGTCGTCCGACCACTTCCTCCTCTGGCCGGTCCCGATGTGAAGGTCTGCACTACCCAGAAACATAGACCCTTGGATGCAGACTTTCCTCAAGAACCAAACCATTTTTGGCATCAAGTCCCAGAAACCAGGAAGAACCAACAGCGGGATTCCTCGATCATGTTGTTTCGCTGTTCGCTTTGAGAAGAAAACATTCAGTTCAAAGAATCAAACCTGCTTGACCGTAATGGCCAGTTGAACGTGATCTCGTCGATGTTATTACTCACAAAGGGGGCTTCGCACTGAGTGCCACCTGTACGTACATAAACTGGAGAAGGTCCAGCCCCTGCTTTGCGCTCTGGCGCCAGCTCAAACGTGAGAGCTACCGGCGTGCTAGAACAAGCTGATAACAGAGTACGGATCGGATTAGTCCTCATCCAAGTAGCAGCACTAACCCCGGTGCAGAACGACACAACCAAGTTTGTCCATGCCATGGTGCAGCCCTGAGCCCCATTTCCGCTACTAGTAGATCAAGTCGACATTCGTGGTGACTTTGGAAAGAAGTGGTGTTTGATCAATCAAAGGTTTTACCCCCAAACAAACGCATTTTTAGGCCATCCATGCTCAACAAAGGGCCATGTGTGGAAGTGATTGGAAGTGTGGGTGAAAAACACTGTGGACC